CTGCGGCACCGTCTCACTTGTGTGTGTGGCGTGAAAAGGCCGGTACACCAACATGGAAAAACGCTTTGTGTGACCTTGGTCTGAAATTTATTATATCAAAAATAAAAAACAGATTACATCATGGACAGAAAGTGCACGGTTTGAGATTGGAGCATTTAGACAGAAGGGGTGAAGATACAGGTTCACAGCAATTTTAATCAGAATATTCTTGATATTAGTGTGAATGAAACCCAATGTTGTATACGGTTAATATATCAAGAACGTTTTGCATGGTATGTATCCTTTAACTGAAGTCTCGATGAGAAAAATGTTAGTCAAAAAGAGGAATAAAAGAAAAACACACACTTGTATTAAAACCATTTTATAAAACAGAAGCTTAAAATCTCTAAAAACAATGTAGTTCGTTACATATATACACATCGATTTTCATTTACAGGCATGATGTTAAATATATTAATTTGTGAGAACTGTCCCAACCCCATTCGTGAATCACATGATGCTTATCGAAAGAAACGGGTGCAGGTGAAACAAGTACAAAAAAAGATACACACACAGAAACACAACATACTGTACGTCTACTTGGTCGGTGAGAAGTCGAGCTTTTTGGTCCTTAATGGTATTCGCAGGCTCATGCAAAGTGCAGCAATCTGAAAGTGAAATCCAGGCGATGGTGACGGGAGGTGATTGTGGAGATTACGGGTTACAGGACCCCATGTAGCGGAGGCCACGGAGCAGCGTTGTGTAAGACATTTGAATTATGCAAAAGCTGCGAGTCTGGCTACACTTTGTAAACAGCTAAAGTACACCCTCCGAGGCAAAGCGCAATTTGGCCGTATACAATTGCGAGTAAAAGTGCCGTACGGGTGAACCCTGTAGAATAATTGAGAGTGTGATCGGATCCCCATTCAAATCTCAAAAATATAGAAAACAAACCCTGATTTAGCTAATATTTCACAAAACAGGCGCATGTTTTAATGTATTTTAGAGACTATTGCGTTCGTTGACAAAGCAAAACCAGAGAACACAAAAAACAAAGCCATTTGGCCTTGCTCCAAAACCGGTCTGCCGCTCTGCTCCCGGTCTACATGTGGGGTGCTCTATCCACTTGATCAGATGGAAGCTTGTGTCGCTTTCAAAGGCATCTCGTAACTTTGTGTTAGCGCTCAAAGTATCTATGTATGGAATGTATAAGCCCACTTTTGTCAAAATGTAATCACGCAACATCTAATTTCAATTAATCCCTGCAGCACAATTAAACATGTTTCCCACTTTTGCCTCAAGTAACAAAACGACACAACACGTGCAGAGGGAGTGGACCAAGAGCGCGTCATCTACAAGCGTCCAAAAACATGCATCTCAGTTAGAAGCATGGCTATTCCCTGCGCTCTTAGATGCATGTGCTGGCCTTGTCTCAGTAGTATCCGGTTTACGAAGTAGAAATTTTCTAATCCTCAACAGCAAAAAATAAATATTGAGATCCAAAATGTCTCGTTTCGTCCATGGGATATAGAACATTTTTTGCATCCTCATTTTATCGTTTTATTTACTTTTGTCCATCACAGTGCCTTAAAACATGTCAAAACAGCGAAACAAAAGCCTGAAAAGACTTAAGCCCCAACCAGACCAACCCCCTCTGAATGTAATCACTTTGCTCTATTGATCCCTACAGGACATTTACATGCAATTAGCAGCGCTGCATGCCGAATTAGAAGCAATGTACTAACATGAATACATAAAAGGCTAAATGTTATTGCTAACACAGTGTGATCTTATGCAACTAATCTGCATTCTCCCGCGTCTTATCACATATCTGCTTACCACGGCTCATTTGCATATGTAAGAAATCTTAATCACAAAAAGGTGCAAAGGAATGTAAAAAAAAAAAACTAAAAACTAAAAAAAGATGAAAAGTTGGACTGACAGTAGTTGGAAGACTGTTATTCTGTCCGGAAGCACCGAGACGAAGCAGCGAGACGAGCCTTAAGCTTTATGGCAGACATGAATTATTAAAACGTACTGTATTCATATGTCACGTTGGGAAGAATCAGGTCTGAAGGCGGCGTGTGCAAAGCAGAAAACGACGGATCACGTACGGAACTTGTCGCTGTGATCAATTACGTAGATTCTTAAGTGTTTGCCTGCAGTAATCCCCCAAAGACCAGATAAAGATTTCCCATACTGTTTTTTTTTTTTACACAGGTGAATCTTATTGGATCAGGCAGCATCTATAGCCAGATTATGTCTTCGTCGTGACTTGAATTCAGATCCACAAACTCCATTTTGAACGTTCGTGTTGGAAGATTTACTCAAGTCTGTTCTTTTTGACTCATTATGTAACTTATTGGATGAGATACAATTGATGTTTTTTGCAGTGTATTTTTAAACTCTTATGGAAAGTCTATGGAACAAGTAGTGTTTGTCTCCCTCATCTCAAGTAATAACATATTGACAAATTATTCAACCTATTGGAAGACTTACACAAAAATATTTACATGTTTTTGTGTTTTCTGAAGGCCTAAAAACAAAATTTTAATTCACAATGGCACAATAAACTTATTTCAAGTATAGTTAGTATATTTGTCTCTCCCAAGCCAATACTTAACTTAATTTAAGTCAAAACGACAGTCAAGACGACAAAAACATGATTTAAAGTCATTTGTTATCATTTGCAGTGTTTTCTACCCTAATGTACAACCAGGCTGAGAGGTAGGGAATAGAAAAATTGCACTTGAAAAAATAAGAATATTATATTTGTCTTCAAACGATATATTTTGCAGTGTGACTAGACTGCAGATCACAGGTGAAAAGCTGGTTGAAGTAAGTGAAACTACTTCTACTACGACTATACTACTATGACTGCTACTACTGATGCTGAAATGAGTTTTGCAAATGGAAACCCGTAGCGATGTCTTACTTTTACGTTATCACCTAAAAAACATCTACAATGTTTGAAATTAGACTAATCTTGCTTCCTCTATTCCATGTCAAAAATATCAAACCAGGTTAAATACTGATACATTCAAGCCATTCACTTATTTGTTGATATTTCCGTGTCGTCTGAGTGGAGAAGCGGGGGTTACATCACATCACACGCGTCACTCTTGTGGGGCCGACATGTCTGCGCGGTAATAGAGGTTAGCTAACATTGTGATCAAAGACAGATTGATGCGATGGCCCCCGAACAGCTGCTTAGGTAATGATGTCTTCATGTTTTCATCCCTCCCTCCCCTCCTGCTCCCTGCATCCGCCCAGCCTTCTCCGGAGTGCATATTACCAGCTATATTTAGATGGGCAGAAGACCTGGTGTCCAAGCCATGTGTGTCCGTATGTTTTAGTGCTACATGTGACCGAGACATGCGCGACAAATGCTAATGCTGCATCGAAGTCACACGTTCAACAATATTAACACGAGCAGGAGGAATTGCATAGGTTTTAAGAGTTACAAAGTCATAGTCAAATCAGACGTGTCCAAACTTTAGCTCCAGGGAAATGACCGCCCTTAGGAATCCTACTCACAGAGATGGACAGTGTATAATATGACCCATTTATTATTGGGAATTTAAAGGTGATGTCAGTGACTTAAAGTGTATTTAATTTTTAAAAGAATTTATATTTCTGTATTTAGTTTGTTGGCTTAACCACAAACAGGAGCATTTTCTGAAAAAGAATAGTTAAACCAATGACGAGGCGCCTCAAGGATTTGAATTAATATCGACCAATCAGGAAGCGGCAGAGGTGAGCATGGGCGGGTCTAACCAGTGCTCATCTTCTGAAGCAAAAGGGAAGTTTCACTCCCTCTTCACAATTTGAAAAACAAATTCTCTCTAATTCAGCAAGAATAAAGAAATTAGTAGCTAAAAAATGCATGCAAAATTCAAACATTTGAAATGATTATAATACTGATTTGCTTTTTGATTTTCCCGTTTGATTCTTCATTTTCAGAACCACATCACTGAAAAGTTTGGACACCTCTGACTTACAGATAATGCGCTGCAAAAATGTCACATCTACTTAGGATTAAAATGACTTGAATTCAGGATATTAATAGATAAATGTGACCTATAGAATGTGTCATAAGCTCAAAGACATGTCTGATTGTAGTTACCCGAAACTTTTGCTTGAATAAAGACAGTATATTTGCCAAAGAGGTCGGTCAATTTGTCTTGGCATGGCAAAAAGTTATTGAAATAATAAATAATGTGTCATGGTGAATGTCTTAGATTAGAAGAATAAGTCACATGTATGCAAGAAAAGTGAGTAAAAACAGCTACGGCGGTGGTCAGAGGATCAAAACGTCTAAAATTTGGAGTGTGGAAAAGACGAAAAAAATATATTATGGTCACAAATAATGAAAAGTTGATTTTGAACATTGAACAACAATTTGCTGAATTCAATTCTCTTTAAAAATTAATAAATGCTTTTTTTTGTAGTAAAAACATAGCAAGGTAAAAGAATTTGAGAGTGTATAAGGCAAGAGTCACCGTATGGATTCGCTGCTTGACAAAAAGTCACAAAATATAAAGTTAAGTCCAGTTAAAACCCAGTGCATTTGATCAGTCAGCAACAATACAAAACACATGATAAAGTAGTTCTTCGCTCTCCTCGGATTCACATGCAACTTCAATCAGACAAGACGCACGCTATTTTTTTCAACGGAAGACTCGTTTGAAACTTTTTTGTGTGCAGATTTGATCATAAAGTCATAAAAAATATCCCTTTTTGAACGCGCAAAAGTCACTTGGAAAACCTGTCCCAAGCTCCGAGTAGAGTCTATACAACAGTAGAGCAGGGAAGGCTGTGGAAATGGAGTGTTCTGTTGTTGTGAAAGAAGGACAGAGAGAAGTAGGAATGGATGAACAGGTGGAAATAACTGAAAGACTAAATGCCGATCCTGAGCCCTGAGGAATTTTGCATGTCTGTGTGGCTTTGGAGGATTAGTAAACCTAGCTTCCTTCTCTCTGCTCCTCTTTGGGTGTTTGCGCCGGTGGCATCCTTCTTCTTCAGTTCGATTTCTCGTCCGATTCGGAGGAGGGGGTGGTGGCGGTGTGTTCGCGGGGCAGGGACATGCTCTTGTGGCGGTCCCAGAGTTTGTGGAGCTCCGTGGCTTCCGCCTCGCTGCTGCTTGTGCCACTGTCCCGGAAACTGGCCAGAGGGGGGCGCACTTTCACCCCCTTCACGGTCACGGAGCCTTCGATGGCTTTACGCAACTGTAGGGGGAAAAAAATAGGAGGAAATCAGCGTTTAAATGTAGTTGTTTTAGGCAGTTATCTCAGATTACATATCTTGCATATAAAGTTCAAGAGATCAACAGCTGGATAGCAGTAATGTACTGTTAGCATCTAGCTAGCCTTAATCCTAAACCCAACAATAAATAAGATTGGTACTAATATCGTCATTGGAAATATAGGGGTAGTAGTATTATACATTTTATTTCATATTTTTCACGGGTTGTGACCATAGACTGCATACTATGTAGGAACGTAGCAACCTGGTTGATGAAGCCTTATAGGGAAGCGATCATGGTCGAAGTTTGATTCCCAATTGCTCGCCTTGGCTCTCATTCACTCATGGAAAAATAAACCGCACATATTACTTTTGAAATATTGGGCATGGAAATCTGTAGTTTCATTCTCTACATGTTTTTTTTTCTTTTTTAAGTTTGTTATGTCAAGTGTCTTTGTAAAACCTGAGATCACCCCGAACAAGTGAACATTCTGGTGTTTTCTATCTCCCAATTTGACTTTGGTCTGCTCCACCTTCGTTGTTTGCTCGCCAGAAACCAGCGGCACTCCTGATTGGCTCTTTGGTTACATTCCCACATAGCAACTGCCTGGCGACCAGTTTGGGTTTTTCTGGAAGCCATTGTTCTGTTGACACAAACTCATTCCACTCCTCTCTACGATCTATGGTAGTGACATTCACTTGTTCCCAAGGTGCTTGAAAATGCACTATATATTTTTTACACTTCATTGTTGTGTCCATATGTCATTAAATCTCTTCTCTCAGTAGTTTGTATGATTTTGATTGATATGACACACATTCATGACGGGACAACAGTTAAAATAATCAGCTAGTTATGATTAATATCTTGTCCCTTTGTAAAGCAGGAGGATAGATACCAACTCTTACATTACAGAGAGAAATAAGCAGGACCCAGGACCATACGTGGTTATTTTTGGGAAACGACAAGCCATGTACGTCGCAAAGTTTGTACCTGCTGTCAGCTGGTGCCGTACGCGACATTTTTACAAGCGTTTAATTGGCTGGGGGAAGACAGACGGTGAAACAACATCCTAACATTGAGTAATAAATCCCTTAACATTTCCCGTGGTCATTGTAAAGAAGGATGGCTGCCATGTCCCACTGAGAGCTCTGGAGTCAGCATTGTAAATAAGCCAAAGTTATTAAAAAAGCAATCTTTGTGCAACACTAGACTGAATTATGGAGCACTTATGTTGCTTTCTGCTGCTCAAACATCTAAAGAGTTTGTGAATTCGGAAGTGGTTGCAAATGTCTCGTGTCACTGCGATTCTGGGACAAAAATACATTTCTAAAGTTTCAATAAACAGCTGAAAGTTGTTTTTTTTGGATGAACAGGCAGACGGCTGACCTTTCACTCTCATTATAAAAACTTCTTTAAGCAACAGCAGGAGTGGAAAAGTGTCGAATGCGGAAGCTGAAGTCCTCACTAATAACCAGGGTATCTGTCTATAGCCGCTTAAAGCTGCACTAACTGACTTTGGGATTTTGAAGCCGCGGACTCGCTGGCCTCGCTCTTTCTGCTCCCCTCCCCGCACCCACGAAGCTATCGCCCCCCACACACACCCACTGTTGGGACGGAGCTAGCGTCTCCCAATATGGATACATCAATATGGATTTTCACGTGGATGGTGTGACCATAGAATGATAGAACCGGGAAGCGCGGAGGAACGAGACTTTCTTTTGGATGGCTGTTTCGCTGTGTAAGCAGTAACCGGTGACGAAGACGAGGAAGCTTCAGGTTAGCTCCGCTGCTTGTTGTGCTAACTCAGCCGTCTATGCTAACAGACCTGTAGATTTCTCATGAAAGTGGGGGCCAGTGGTGCGCTGTGATTGGTCACAATCTGCGACCCGAAACACATTCTCTTCCTTGTTTCATTGAAACTCGATCTAAAATATAATGTCACGCCAGCCCAAATCTGCGCTACTTTTTCTTCAAAAGGACGTATATCCCAATGCACTACATGGACATGGATAGCATTTTAGTAATGAATGCAAAAATAAAGTCAGTTAGTGCAGCTTTAAAGTTCATCTACGTACAGTATGTTTCTTGGAAAAAACACAGGGCACATGTAATGACAGTGGAAGTGCAAAATGTCTTATTATTTACTTATTTGGTTCCAATTTGTTTTATCTGATTGTTGTTGGATTGATCAACACCGTCACTTATGCTGCTTTTTTGACATAATATTTGTGATATTGGTCGCGATTTATGTTTATTATAATAATAATAATAATAATGCATCGGTTTTATACAGGTTTTAATATCATTATTCTTTCACTCCAAAACATGGTGGTAATGAACTACTACAGTAGCCACAGCTGCCCTGGGGCACACTGTATGTATATGTGCCATCGGCCCCTCCGACCACCACCAACCACTCACACACACACCAGACTCTTTCTAGGCAATGGGGGTTAAGTGTCTTGCCTAATGGTGCTTTCAGACCGGATGCAAAGTCTATGGTGACTTGGCGGACTTGGCAGGAAAGTGAAAAGGGAGGAGCAGGAGCAAAAAATCGACGCCCACAGGAGATGGATTCTGCTCATCCTTTCCTTGGGACGTTCGTGCGATAACCAATCAGAGAGCAGCAAAGTGGTCACGGGGACATTAGCGGACTGAGCGAGCAGACTGAAAATACTCAAACAGCAAAAACAGGACCCACACCAGACTTCACCAGAACTCAAACCAGGGTTGACGATGGGAGACTGTGTGCTTGTGAATATATGCGTTGTCATGCTCCCGTGACCTTATGCAACTGCTTCGAGTGTGTTCGCTGATGCGTAAATTCCGTTTAATAATATGAAAACACGTATGGCGCACCTCCGTGAACACGTACTGCTGTTATATAAAGCCCGTGGAATGTCTGTGAGCAAATACACGCTGCAAAGCTGCATATTGGAGAAGATCTGTATACAAGAAGCCGCTAGCATAGCTCTGTTAGCATTAGAGCCGGCCGGCTACTTCCGGTACTTCCGGCTCGCGTCAGGACGTTCTGGTGTGAAGACCCCTGCGTCTGAAAACTAGAGAATGCGCGTCTGGTGAGCGGGGCTTCAGCGTTTCAGCGTTGGCGGTCTGAAAGCCCCGTAAGGACACAATAGCAGTTTGGCACTTTACAGCCGCCCCACTGTGGCATATGGTGTTCCAAGAGGTTAAGTGTCTTGCCCAAGGACACAACGACAGCAGGAGTCGGTGGAAAAGGTTCTGTGGTGGGCTCAAACCCACAACCTACTGGATCAAAGGCCAATGCGCTACCAACTGAGCTACTGTCGCCCATTATTGAAAAATATATTAAAAAACATATATATTAAGCCACACATTTAAGTATATAAATGTGTGGCAGACAAACCCTTTTGGACTCCAGGATTCATAGATTCATTTTGAAAGTGCTGGGACTCGCCTCCTGCTGGTGTCCAGAGTCTGAACTGTAACTATAACTCAACTTTCAGCATCGGTGTAATTTATGGATGCAGCTAAAGTTTGAAATCGACTTCCTGACAGACTCTACTGACATTTCAGTTTCTCCACAGATGCTTCACTTGCCTTGCTAACTCGGAAAGGTTTTCATTTCGCATCGGCCTCCATTCACTCATGCGTCATTGCTGTCTCACTCAATACCGAGTGATCGCCATTATTATTATTATTATTATTATTATTATTATTATTAAACTGCAAACCTTACACTAAAAGGTCTGAGGTTTAATCAGCTGCTTTCTCTGGGGCACTCACATCTCCCAACACTACAGGTGAGTCTCGCAAAACAAAAATTGTTTGTTTTTTCTGTAATTAAACTTTGAATGTGAAACAGAAACATGACATAGACAAGCTCCATACAAAGTGACATATGCCAATCCTTTCTTATGATGTTGATGTGACAGTCCAGCTTTTGCTTTTTTTGTGTGGAGTTTTTAAAAGCTTTGAGCCAATTATCAACATAACAAATAAGGGACATACAAATTTCACTGTATGTGTGTAATGTGTGTCTATTAGTTTCACATCGTAAGTTGTAAATACAATTTTCTCTTAAATGATTTTCTAATTTCTATAGTTTCACCTAAAGCAGCATTATGATGGCGAGTGAGTGAGTGAATGATGGGAAGGGCTCGGATTGGCAGCATTACTTTCACTACCACAAGTTTGCAAACCGCTTCTGTTTTCAGTTTAGAAAAAGCACTTTAGTAATCATGCACTTGCATTTAAACAGTTTTTGTTGATTGATTTCACAGTGACAATTGCTTCTTGTACTTTTTAGCTTGTATTATTACATACACAATATATATCTCTGGTACACACTAGGGTACGTTTGCACATGTATTTCAATTTGGTTTTTACTCCAAATGGCAAATAAAACAAATCTGAATCTGAATAAATTGTGAGTTCAGACCAGCCCATTTGAGCGACTTCACATGTAATAAAAAAGGTGCTTTACAAGTAGCAGACATTGTTAAAAGTACGGTTATATGAATTCCTCCCTGGCCTACTTCAACACACTCAGTTTACCTTGAACCCAACACTACAAACACTGGGGCCTTCTGTAACATGGTGTTTGTGTGACAGGCAGACACAGGGAGAGGACAAAAGATGTCTAAATGTCACGGATGGATGAGTGTCTCTGCATTTCCTGTCTCATTCATAAGCGGGGAGCAGCGGAGCGGTTTTGCAGTTTGCTCGCTGCCTTTGCTTCAGACACAATAGTGCGGAGACAGCAGTATTAAGCAGCCCATTGTCTGTGTCAGTCCATAAGAGACTGAGAGGAGGCAGCACTACTGTCCTCCCCAAACCCCTTTGTGCATGTGTGCTTTGTGAGATGACGACACAGGCCCCTTGTGGGACTGACAGTAATTTTACAGTCACGAAAGCGGCAACAAAGCGCGCTGCTGGTTCCTACAGGTTTTTGTGTGTAAAGATGATGAATGAGTTGACAGGGTTTTTGTACCTCTTTGAGAGACACCACTCCGATGAGGCGCCCGATGCTGGTGACGTAGGCGTGGTCCAAGCCGAGCAGCGAGAAAATGGTGTGTGTCTGGAAAGAAATAAGGGAATAAACATGTTTAAAAGTGCAATCAAATATTTGACTTAAAAACTGCATTTTCTGGTGGAAGCTATTAGTTCATTCTTGAAAAATAATTACGCATCATTTTAATAAAGAGCCTTTTCAGGACGCTCAAAAATGCTTCACATGTCATTCTTTCACTCTATACACTGTGATAAACTACTGCTGTAGCCACAGCTGCCCTGGGGCACAGTAACCTAAGCAGTATGTGCCATTTAACCACACACCCAGCAATTTGGGTGAAATGTCTTGTCCGAGGACATAACTCTCGCCCCGCTGTGACACCTGTTCCCAGAGGTCTCCCATCACGGTACTAACCAGGCCCTGCCCTGCTTAGCTTCAGAGGTCTGACGGGATCTGGCCCCCGACTCTCACACAGCAGCGCTCTCTCTCCCTCTTGTATAAATAATCCCATAAAGCTTGACCTTTCCGGGTCCAAACAACAAATCAATACATCAAAGAGAATAATCGTCCAACAAATTGATTGTCGATCTTTTTCTTTTCCACCCTTAAATCTGTCACATTCCCAATGGCGTACCTGTCATACTTGCACAATTTAAAACATAATAGAAAAATAGCAAAGATGAGCTTCCCTAATATGGTTTGAGAGTCTAATCACCCGACTGTGACCATTCCATTCACATTGTTGCTTCCTTGTTCTGCTTAATAGGAAATCACTTTGGGAAACGCAGCTCCGGATCCTTTTAAAGCCTTTGAATTTCTCCATTAACACGATTGCATTCAAATGGTGCTGAACCGACTGCCGTGAACTAAACTGCCATTACGAGTGAAAAAAAACAGCTTTTATAGGTTTGTTTGTTTTTGAGCCGCGGTTTGACGAGGCCTGTTCACTTTGGTCCAGCTGCAGCGTCTGAACTCTGGCTCTCCGCTGGCCCACATTAACCCGGCTACAGCTGCTTCATAAATGAGGTCACAAACAGGTCGGACATAACGGACAGAGGGAGAAAGTCGCTCGGAGAAAAAAAAGGTTTGCGCTAAAGTGGGTAAAATGTGATGTCATGATTTCGTATTGACGCTCAACAGGGACGCTCAACAAATGATGTAATCTGTTTGTAATGCAGGGACACTGACGCCCACATGCAGAAGTTTGTATTTAGCAAAAATGTCAAGGTGAAATGGAAAAACATAAGTATATATTCTGCATTTACTGTCAACCACAAATCCACTGATCAAATACATCTAAACATATTCTTCAGGAAGATGTTAAACAAACTTGGGCCTCTTCAAGATTCATCGGAAATAACTGAAAATGTGAGCTTGTTACAAAACCGTACATTCTCATTTTAAAATTTCAAATATGAAAATTGCACCCGTATATTTTACTGTTATATTTTACGTCTTTAAGAACAGGCTCAAGACGTACCTTTTAATATTAGCTTTTGATTGGTATCAATTATTGTATTGTATATGATCTATTTATCCCTATTGTTTAATTATTTTATTATTATTATTTTTTATGTTATTTTCGTTGTAATGGGGATGGATGTTTTTATTATTATTATTATTATTATTATAGTATCAAATGATTGATTGTGTTCAAGTCTCTCCATGGCCTCGCACCAAGGTACATAGGCGACATGTTGGTCCCATATGAGCCAGCCCGGACTCTGGGCACCAGCAGGAGGCCCGTTCCCGTGCTCCTCAGAGTCAGAACAAAACATGGGGAGGCTGCATTTCAGATTTATGCGGCTAGGATTTGGAACAGTCTTTCTGAAAATGTGAAACAGGCGACTTCTGTGGCAATTTTTAAGTCTAGGTTAAAAACGGTTCTGTTTTAGCTGTGCATACAACTGAATGATTTTATTTTTAGGTGCACTATGGCTATTTATGATTTTAATCCCGTGTGTGATTTTAATGTGTTAATCTTTTTATTACTTGTGTGATTTTATTTTTTATGTTTTTACATTTTTGTGTGATATCATTGTGTGTTTTTAATACCCTTTGTGATTTTAATTGTATTTTTAATGTTTATGTGGATTTTAATGTATGTGTATGTGTAGGAAAGGCGCTCTACAAATAAAAGTTGATTGATAGTATAATTTTTTTAAATATATTTAGGCCCGAGCCCCGAACGGGGTAAGGGCCTATTGCTTTCACAATGGTGAAAACAAATGGTGGTGGTGCGTGACGGACGCGTCAGCGCCCGTCACTCACCAAAACGTGACAGTTGCGTGCGTAAACTCAAACGCTTTAAAATGATGAATCACATGCCATTGAAACCTATATTGTTTTTGCTCGAGACAAGTCACAAAAAATTCCTTTTTTAGGCCCGAGCCCCGAACGGGGTAAGGGCCTATTGCTTTCACAATGGTGAAAACAAATGGTGGCGGTGCGTCACGGACGCGTCAGCGCCCGTCACTCACCAAAACGTGACGGTTGCGTGCGTGAACTCAAACGCTTTAAAATGATGTATCACATGCCATTGAAACCTATATTGTTTTTGCTCGAGACAAGTCGAAAAAAATTCCTTTTTTATTTATTAGGCCCGAGCCCCGAACGGGGTAAGGGCCTATTGCTTTCACAATGGTGAAAACAAATGGTGGCGGTGCGTGACGGACGCTTCAGCGCCCGTCACTCACCAAAACGTGACGGTTGCGTGCGTAAACTCAAAAGCTTTAAAATGATGTATCAGGTGCCATTGAAACCTATATTGTTTTTGCTCGAGACGTTAACAAAAAAATTCCTTTTTTATTTATTTATTTATTAGGCCCGAGCCCCGAACGGGGAAAGGGCCTATTGTTTTTGCTCGAGAGATGTCAAATTCTGCACTTTGAGCCTTAATTTCACCCCCTGAACATGCATGAAAAGTTGTAAAATTTTGCCCAAACATCAGACCTGGTGAAAAATTTGATATTTTGGTGTTTATTTTTATGGGACTCAAAAAATGCCAGAACAGCGCCACCTACAACAGCCAATGGGAGTTTCAGAGGTCAAGTTTGTCGTAGAGCCATGAAATTCGGTACACATGTTCCTCAAGTCAAGATACGACCGAAATGTTATCATGGCTCCGCCCTCTGACAAACAGGAGGCCCATAAATTTCACTGCAAAATGGAAAAATGAACAGCAATCATTTTCATACATGTCGGTTGGAAAGCGACTCCTCCTCGGCCGTTTCACCGATTGGCCTCCATATCACTCCACATTGTCTAAACACATGTACCATCAAAATGACCTCAGGGATTTTTGATCAGTGAAACGTTGTTTGAGCAGGGGAGCGGCAAAATGTGAGTGTTTATTGGCCGTTTTTCACAACCTTCTATTTGCTCCCGTTTACACATACAAATTCCGATTTGCACAAAACTTGAATCCATGGTTCAACTCTAGGGTCTAGGTCATTTGAAAGTGAAATAATTGAACTTGGCTCATTAACGCCCCCTACAGACTATTTCAGAGTTTTTAGTATGAAAATCTCTGAAAACTTTGACTCCATCTGTAGGGGCACTAATGAGCCAAGTTCTTTTATTTCACTTTCAATTGACCTAGACCCTAGAGTTAAACAATGTATTAAAGTTTTGTGCAAATCAGACTTTGTATGTGCAAACGGGAGCAAATTTAATACTGTCCAAAACGGCCAAAAAAAGGTCACAATTTGCAGCTCCCCTGTTCAAACAACGTTTCACTGATGAAAAATTGCCGAAGTCATTTTCAAGGTACATGTGTTGAGATGATCTGGAGCGATTTTGAGGCGAATCGGTGAAACGGCCGAGGAGGAGTCGCTTTCCAACCGACATGTATGAAAATGATTGCTGTTCATTTTTCCATTTTGCAGTGAAATTTATGGGCTTCCTGTATGTCAGAGGGCGGGGCCATAATAAATTTTTTTTCATGTCTTGACTTGAGGAACATGTGTACCGAATTTCATGGCTCTACGACAAACTTGACCTCCGAAAAATCCCATGGGGGTATTATTAGGCCCGAGCCCCGAACGGGGAAAGGGCCTATTGTTTTTGCTCGAGAGATGTCAAATTCTGCACTTTGAGCCTTAATTTCACCCCCTGAACATGCATGAAAAGTTGTAAAATTTTGCCCAAACATCAGACCTGGTGAAAAATTTGATATTTTGGTGTTTATTTTTATGGGACTCAAAAAATGACAGAACAGCGCCACCTACAACAGCCAAAATAATACCCCTATGAGACTTTTAGAGATCAAGTTTGTCGTAGAGCCATGAAATTCGGTCCACATGTTCCTCAAGTCAAGACAAGAAAAAAATATTATTATGGCTCCGCCCTCTGACAAACAGGAAGCCCATAAATCTCACTGCAAAATGGAAAAATGAACAGCAAAAGTTCTCATACATGTCGGTTGGAAAGCGACTCCTCCTCGGCCGTTTCACCGATTCGCCTCAAAATCGCTCCACATCATCTCAACACATGTACCTTCAAAATGACCTCAGGGATTTTGATCAGTGAAACATTGTTCGAGCAGCGGAGCGGCAAAATGTGACCTTTTTTGGCCGTTTTTGACAACATTAAATTTTCTCCCGTTTGCACAAACAAACTCTGTATAGCACAAAACTTTAATACATTGTTCAACTCTAGGGTCTAGGTCATTTGAAAGTTAAATGATTCAAATTGACACAATAGCGCCCCCTACAGACTATTTCAAAGTTTTAGATGGGCATTTTCAAATTTAGTTTTTTCAAAACGTTTGAAATTTTGCAGAAAAATCTGGTTTGCCCTCTTGATTCAAAAATTCAATAGGGTCCAAGGCTTATTTTTTACCCTGTTGCCGTGGCGACGACAAACGCTCCCCATTCATTGCAAATGTACACCTCACACAAACATCAAACCAGCCTCGGCCGTTTTACCGATTCGCCTCAAAATCGCTCCACATCATCTCAACACATGTACCTTCAAAATGACTTCAGGGAATTTTGATCAGTGAAACGTTGTTTGAGCAGCGGAGCGCCAAAAAGTGGCGTATTTTTTTCCAGTTTTTGACAATAGTCATTTGCTTCCGTTTGCATTAAACTTCAATCCATTGTTCAACTCCAGGGTTTAGGTCAGGTGAAAGTGAAATATTTGAAATTGGCCCATTAGCGCCCCCTGCAGACTGAGTCAAAGTTTACATGGGGAGCCAAACCAGCTCTACTTATCATATTCATTACAATTTGACTAACAATCTTCTGTGGCTACGGAAACAAATCACCACACGGCGGCGCCACCTCCTTTGAGCGGTGCTGCGTGGTACGGTGTGGTGCGACGTAGTGCGGGGCGTAGTGCGGGGCGTTGTGGAGCGGCGCGTTGCGGCTTGGTGCGGGCGGCGTGGTGCGGGACGGCATGGTGCAGGGCGGCTTGGTGCGGGGCGGCGTGGTGCGGGGAGTGCGCGCGGTGCAGGGAGTCGCGCGGTGCGGCGAGGGCCGTTCGACGCCGCTTGCGGCTTTAATTTCTTTCTTTCTTTCTTTTTTCTTCTGCACTTTGAGCCTTAATTTGACCCCCTGAACATGCATGAAAAGTTGTTAATTTTGGCCCAAAAATCAGACCTGGTAAAAAATTTGATATTTTGGTGTTTATTTTTATGGGACTCAAAAAATGACAGAACAGCGCCACCTACAACAGCCAAAATAATACCCCTATGGGACTTTTCGGAGGTCAAGTTTGTCGTAGAAACATGAAATTTGGTACACATGTTGCTCAAGTCAAGACAAGAAAAAAATATTATTATGGCCCCGCCCTCTGACAAACAGGGAGCCCATAAATCTCACTGCAAAATGGAAAAATGAACAGCAAAAGTTTTCATACATGTCGGTTGGAAAGCGACTCCTCCTCGGCCGTTTCACCGATTCGCCTCAAAATCGCTCCACATCATCTCAACACATGTACCTTCAAAATGACCTCAGGGATTTTTGATCAGTGAAACAATTGTTCGAGCAGCG